CATGATACATATCAAGCATAAAGATTTATTTTTTGTTCACATCGTGATTAGTTTGCTCTAATACTAAATACTACAATATAGTTCTCAAGCTAATTTTTGAAAAAAAATAGATGACACAAATGTTGTACTCTTTCCGCAACACGCTACAAACAAGTAAGAACAATACAGAGGCCTACAAAAAGTTCAAAACAGGATGCAGAATTCTAAATTGATTTTTTTGAAAAACGAATCAAAGAGGCACCATCTAAACTACTAGGTAGCCATTACTTAAAACGCATAACTGAGATATGTTGCAGGCAGTTGTCGAAACTAAATGTAAAAGTTGTTAGTCAGCAAAATGACATTTAAATGTACTCGTCTTTGAAACAAAAATCGAATCGAAAGCACGCCTCTTCTGACTTCACCCGCTCTTTCTCGTTAAACTTATGTCTGAACCTCACTTCATTTAGGAGATTCTAATTGGTGGAGTGAAGCCATAAAGGGAAAGAAATGCAATATCTTAGGTTCAAAAAATGTATATCCGAGCCTTCATACTCTCCGACCTACCAGTCAGTGGACTCAGAGTTTGTAATTTGGTTTAGGGCTTGTTAACTCCATTACTGATCACAAAAGTATTACATTATAATTTTTAACGTATAATTCTTATAACTTTTAACGGATCCATAAGTTCAACGAGTAGGACAGGGATGGAGCGGTTTTCGTTTCAGCATCATAACCAAAGTCATATTCAGTTTCACTACGACCTACTTCAACGAAAGAAGCTGCGCCAGTTTCTGTGATCCCAATCCCATGATCAGCACGTGCACAGCTACTTCCTCCTCCACCAATCATCATGACTGCTCCATCCCCAATATCCCAGTCACACCAGAAGCCGATCTTGTCATCGCTTTGGATGCTTCCACTGCAATCAGCCTGTTGAAACCCGTCTGTTGACTTGTACTGTCCGCCGTATTGAACCGTACAACTTCCCAGACACCGATCACTGGCCCAGGCCTTGCCATTTCTAAAGTCGCCATAACTGGTGATTTTAGATCGGAATGTTTGTCCAGCCAAACAGTTACCTGTGGTCTGTAACAGAGGGGTGTGGCTGGGGTCGTCACTGCGCGTGATCTTAAATTCGCTTCCTCTGACCAACCAAAATGCTGGTGAGATCATATCAGCGTTTACTGATGGATCATTTGTTGTTCCATCGGCAGCTTGCTGGTCATACCACCATCTACCATCGTCACGCATCCAATTCTTGCCATCGCTGTTTGAGAATCGAGCGATAAGGGTCCATCCTTCAAGACTTACTGTGATATCACAATAGACCTAAAAGTACATTGCAAATATATTACAATCAAAAGCAGGGCATTTATTATTTTGGTTATAAGTTGGTGAGGAATTGATAAAATACCTTGATAGATATGAAGTACTCTAACAGCTTTAAAACCATAAGATAAAAAATTGAAATATTCACCGGGAGGCTTGGGATAGGAGAGGTGAGAATGAAAGTGAGAAGGCACCTCTTCACATCAGGAAAGGTTTTTCTCTCACTAAGAGTCTCTTTTAAATTCAAATGTGTAATTTTTTAATTGCCATCGCGACTGAATTTTTGACTGGAAGATGTAAATAGGTGCAACCTATTGAAAAATGCGTGCTTTCTTGCTGGTATGTGCTATGAAATGTTCTCGACGGAAAAATATTTTATAATCTTTGGATTCCTGGGTGATGCTAAGATGGCGACTATTAACATTTTTTTATTAAAGTTTATACTGTCAGTAAGGCTGAAAGAAAAGTCGAACTACATTGAACTCTTTATTTGGCTTAAAAAAGCTCTCATCCGGAGAGGAAAAAACAGAGAACACAACAGAAAAATTCAACACCGAACAAAACAAAAACAAACAACAAAACAAACCAAGGACAGGAAAAGTAACAAAATTGTTTTATCTACGAGATCGTCTTTAAAGAAAGAGGCAAAGCTTGAAAGTGTGAGAATTGAAAGGATAGTTTCAACTTAAGATAAAAGAGGCTATTCATATACAACCCTCTTCGAATCAACAATCACACCATGTAAATTTAAAACTATCCTTTTAACCCTCACACTTTCATGCTTTGCCTCTTTCTTGTTGTCGGCATTTATCATAATTAGCATTTTCTACTCACTATAAATTCAACTTCCAACGCTTTGTACATTAATTAACTGAAGATGACAGAAGTTTCTGTCGAAACATGTTTTACAAACTTAAAAGTTTTGTCGTTTCCTTCAAATTCTTGACTTGCCTGCTACTAATAAGAACCTTTGGAAGTATTTATTCTGAAAGAGAAATAAAGGCTCTAGACTTACTTTATATCGAAAATTGACCGCGAGAAGCTCGAAGCTTCCGGGACGTCTCTCCATTATTTTCTTTGAAACTTCTTCACAAGAATGTACTGAAAGTTGATAAAAAGAAGGCATGGATAATGAATAAGAAAAGGGAGGAAATATTTACGAAGATATCAACATGTTTTTGTGGTTCTCGTTCTAGAAAGGGAGGCATAAGAACACACAAGAACAAGAAAGCACACAGAACAGAACTAAACGAAAAACCTAAATCACACCGACAGTGAAAAATTGTTGGATGCCAATTTTTTTATACGGTCGCCTAGATGTTAGTAATGAGATAACCGCTAGCCTGAATGTAGGCAATATCACGACAAATGTATTAAACTTAGGATTTTTCACATTTCGACGAAGATACCGGCTAGTTACTCACGGGATAGGCCAGGAGCTAGGGCATGTAGTTGTTTGTTTGTTTATTGGTGTTATTGACCCACCTATTCATGTATTATAATCATCATTTTGAGTCTCACGTGCAAGATATTGTCGGAGATTATGAGAATCAGGGACGTGACCCCAGTCAGTTTTAACGACGCTCTTATAAATCGTTGATTATTGAAAAGAGCGCTCCGAGATGCTTAACCATGTAACAAGTGTTTGTATTTTTGGAATTCTGTACAGTTTTTGTTAATTTAAGTAGGCTATTGGTGTTACTGTCATGACAGAATTGGTCTCTGGATTGGTATGCAATGAGTATTTGATAACTGGAATGATGGCAAGTCATATTATTGATTTAAAGACACCTTTTATCTTGACGACTACTGTCGTTGTTGTTTCTGCCAGTCCGAAGCGGTTTCTTGCGCGGCAGACATATGTCCCGTTGCTGTTGAACCCAACAAGGTTGTATTCGAGGCAGCCTTGTTCCTCGAAAGCCAATGATGTATCAGCGGAGTGCACCTGACGAGCGCGTGACCATTCCACGTTAGGAGGAGGAGAGCCCACAGCCTCGCAACAGAGACTTAAAACGGAGCCTTCATCTACAATGACCAAAGATGGTAGTTTCTTGACAAATGTTGGTGGCTCTGAAGGTAGAGTAAAATCGATTCAAAAACCGACATGTAATAAACAACATCATGTGATCAATAGCAACCGTCAGCAATAGCAACTTTTGGTAACATCGGAGAAAACCTTTAGCGTTGAAAATAGCAAGAATATACAACTAAAACCTATTATACTTTTTAACATTATCAAGTAGACATAACTTTTCCCGTGATCGATATTAAAGGTGCTAAATTGCTATCTGAACACACTCAATGTCCACGGCCCACTGTGGAAGGACAAAAATGTGTATTTCATTTACAAGTGGCAGTCTACACTGGTGTTAAAGAAACATATTATAAAAAAATCAGAAAAATGAGGGAGTGATATCCATACCTTTTACTTGTAAAGTGCTGAAACCCGTTAGATTTCTGAGACCAGTGTTAGCTGAACACATATACGACCCCACATGTGACCTTTGTACGCTGTTGATTCGAAGCGCACCATCTTCCACGGTAGCATCAGATAGAGTACCTCCAAGTCTACGCCATGTTATTTTGGACGACGTCTGGCCTTGAACCCAACAGAAAAATATTGCTGTCTCATTGATAAAGACTTCCTGAGATGCTGGATACACACTGATCTTCGGTGGAACGACACATTCTCTGGTTGGTCCCTGAATACCAACCAATCCTCTGTCCCCTGTGTTCCCTTTTAAGCCAATAGATCCTTTTTGTCCTTGACGACCCTTCTCTCCAGTCTCTCCTCTAATACCACGAGCTCCAACGGGCCCTTTGTCACCTTTTTCACCCTTTTCTCCTTGAGGTCCCACAGGTCCTCTAACACCACTTTCGCCTGGAACCCCAGTGGGCCCCCATGGACCTGGTGGTCCTTTACTTCCAGGGGCCCCTTTTTCTCCCTTATATCCGGGATACCCAGGGGCTCCTGGCGGTCCCGGAGGTCCTGCCTGGCATATTCTGTCTGAGGAGTTACAAACTTCATTGAACTTGTTATTTATTTCTTGGCGGATTTGTTGTAAAGTTATAGTTGCTGGCGTTGGACTCAAAGCAGCATTTCTTTTATGTCTTTGGCGATAATCCACATTATGTGTTTCCATTCCGCCTTCAAAATCTGTATATTACAAATATAAAAATATTAGCCATTTATATTCTGAAATCAGTATGCAAATTCTCCATACATTTACTAAGACGGTGACAAGGAGAATTAGTTGAACAATCAAAAGGTTCTTTATTTGGTATTTATTTCCTCTATTCTCATGACCATAATGCTTGATTCAGGGGTGAAATTCAGGAGAAATTAGATGCTTGTCTTTCTTGGAAACAGTTACACCTTGTTTGATTAAAAAATATCAAATTTTGAAAACAACGTCAAAACATAGGTTGACAGCAACCTGACCATCTATTTACACAATCTAATTGAATTTATCCGACCTACTTCTAATTAGTTAAAAAATAGGTCAAAAGTAACCCGCTATTTAACTATGTGCTTCACAAAATGATTGACTGAAAATCCGGCTTTTGCAAGGTGAATTGTAGTTCTTTTCAATCTCCGAAGAATTTTTTTGGGGAAATGATTCAGCGTGATTTAATCAAATTTTAAAGTTGGATAAAATGAGTCGATTCGAGAACGGGAATTGGCGATATTTTCAATAACAATTATAATCCAGTGTTTAGGTGCTAGTTTCGTATTCGCGCGAAAAAAAAATAAAGAAACGCTATGGTCCAGCGCAAAAGTTTTGACATAAAAATAGTCAGTCGAAAAACTGCTCAAATAATTTGTATGATCCAGTAAAAACTCCATTAATCAGTAGCATCTACTACCTCAGCAATCTCCCACCCCTCCCTGCGTACTAATAGTTCCTCTTCCACCCCTCTCTTAGTAACAAAAGTCTGTCTACCACGTGCACCCCTCCCTGGGTACTGATAGACTGCATCCCAACCCTCCCTAAGTACTAATGGTCTGCCTCCCCCGTGATTAAGCGGTTCAAAAATTGAACTAAAAAAGGGTCTAAAAATTGGTCCACATAAATGGTCCAAAAAATGGTCCAAAAACTAGCCCAATGGTGTAAGGGTCCACTGGTTCAGTCCATATTTCACCTTATGTCCTGTTATCTGTCATTCATTTTCCGAGGTCAGTGGCTAATACCTTCATAGAGTAATCATCTCTAGATCAAGACGACTATACTACCTTGATGAAAACTTTTTGACACAAAATAATTTGTCAAGTCACTTATCTGCTTGAACCATGATGGTTTTGGCAACATGTCTAACCATTTTCGAGCCATTTGATAATTTATTTTCTACATGATAAACAAAGGAAGCATCGTTCAATCTGATGTAGAGTTTTAGCGATGATTTGGTGGAAATCACATATATTGCCACAAAGAGTAAGAAAAAGGTTTGCAATGAGAATAACGCAATTGTCGCAAAATCTAGACGTAAATGTACAGATAATCTTTTGCAGTACCTTCTCTGCTGATAAACCTAAGAACGAAATTGTATAGAGACAATGGAACCATTAAATTTGAGTGTGTAATAATCTACTCACTATTGAGCAGTTTACAAAATTTGGGAATTTGGGGTGCCTCCTAGAGTAAATGTTATTGCTACAATGCCCATTCATGCAAAACTACCGTCGTAGACACATTGATCGATGGGGAATGGTATGTGTATGCGTTGCTAAGCTTCCATCTAGGAAAGCGCCGATAGAAATGATCGGGATTTAGTTCTAAGATTGCCTTCTTTGAATCTATGTTGTGAATTACTGTACCGTTAAGATGAAACTAAATTGGCCCAAATTATTGGAGACGGGCTAATTTCATGCGATGAAGCCGGATTCCTTAGAGCAAATTATCATAGACTTGCAAATAAAATGTTACTTACCCTTTGACAGTTTCCCCTCGTTACCTGCTCTTTTCCTCAAAACGGCGATCTTAAGGTGAGCTTCAACATCTGAAATGCGAAGTTCGTTCCTCTTCGTGTTCCTGTTTATTGTTTCCATCCTCAAGAACAGCGCAACAATCAACAGAATGGAAATGAAAGAAAGAATTGAAGAGCATCTGTGAAAAGCATCGTTTGAGCATTTTGCAGAATGTTTCTTCGTAGAGTCCATTGCAGCTTCAAGGGGATTTGAGTGAACAGCTTCCCTGATTAGCAAAGTCTGTACCGTTTCGCCAGCGGGAACCAGTAGTTTATGCTTCGCATCGTATGCGTGAAGTTTAAATTCATCGTTTTGCTCTTAGAGAATCGGGATGGAATTTCATCCTTCTCTGTGTTATTGAAAGAATGTTATCTGTTTGTTTAGTTGTCTTGTTTTTTCCTTTCTCGGTTGGAAACGAATATGCCCGGAAAGCACGGTTACAAGGGTCCGCACGCACAGTTTGCGTGGCTTCTTCCATCTGCAGTATCCTTGTGCCCGTTGAAAATTATTGTTTTCCATGATGATATGATAAAATTCTGACGACACTGATGCAAATAGTGCCTTATTTGTGTCAAGGTGTATATGGTATTTGCGGGTGACAAGCCATGGAAGTCGTTAAATTATTATTTTGTTACATTAAGCATATATTTGTCCGGTTAAGGTATTAAGTGAGTTGTTTGTTATCTTTTTTGTTTAGTTGTCTTGTTTTTTCCTTTTTCGGCTTGGAAAGAATATGCCCGGAAAGCACGTTTACAAAGGTCCGCACGCATAGTTTGCTTGACTTCTTCCATCTGCGGTATCTCTGTGCTCGATTAAAATTTTAGTTTTCCTTGATGATATGATAAAATACTGACAAAACTAATGCAGATGGTGCCTTATTTGCGTCAAGGTATTTATCTTATTTGCGGGTGACAAGCCATGGAAGTCGTTAAATTACTTTTTTCACATTAATCATATATTTTTCCGGTTAAGGTATTAGTGAGTTGTTTGTTATCTTGCTTGTTTTAGTTGTGTGGTTTTTTCCTTTTGCGGTTAGGAAAGAATATGCCCGGAAGGCACATTTGCAGAGGTCCGCACGCATAGTTTGCTCGACTTCTTCCATCTGCGGTATCCTTATGCCCGATTAAAATTCTTCTTTTCTTTGATGTTAATGGCGAACTACTTATTAAACTAATGCAAAATCTTTAAAATCTACCATTTTATGAAGCTACTAATAAAAAACGGTCGGGGTTTGTTTAACAGACTAATTTGCATAATTCTGCTGCCAGGTTAGCAAAATCACCAAAAGTTTTAAGACACTAATAACTGCAAGATGTTTTTACATTTATGCTTTCGAACATCGTATTAGTAATAAGTAATTATTAATGGTCCGGTCTGGACTTGAGAAATATCACCGAAGAAAGAAAGAGTAACTTTGACCAATTTCAAAAAGCTTTCAAACGATTGTTTTCAATAAATTATGGCGAATCTCTGAATAACATATCAAAATTGAAATACTTTCCAAACTCTCGAGATATCACATAATTCAAGAATCCAAACGTTTTCCTGCTGCATGTAGTATATTACGAGGAGCAAGCCTATCACCTTGAGAAATTTTCGATGTCACAAGAGGTCAAAAACGGGCCTTATGCAGCTTTGATTATTGAGAGCTCTCAAAAGAAATTTTTAACGTATTTCCAGAAACCAATGTGGTTTTACTTACTTACTCCCAAAGATAGTTTAATAGTTATAGTTTTTGGGCAAAGTTTGAGGCAAACGTTTCTCCGATGCGAAATGCCTTGGACCGCTCTAACAGAGATCGCCACCTAATGTGTGTCTTGGTAAAAATTTTAAACACTTCACCCAAGACACAAACTGAACTGAAATTTTAAATTGAAAAGAAAGTATCTAATTTTCGGAAACCGTTGACATGTCCATAATGGGAAACTCTCTTTTAAGATCTTGAGAAATTCCTTTAATAAGGATCCCACTAAATGAACACAAATGCATTTTCTACTACAGTCATACAACCATTAAAAAGAAATAAATACTACTGTGGAAGCCCCGAGTTCAATTTCTGCAGTTTTAACACTAAAGGAGTTGACTAAGATTAAAATATAATTTCTGTATATAAAAACATTGAACTAAGATGCATGATACATATCAAGCATAAAGATTTATTTTTTGTTCACATCGTGATTAGTTTGCTCTAATACTAAATACTACAATATAGTTCTCAGCTAATTTTTGAAAAAAATAGATAACACAAATGTTGTACTCTTTCCGCAACACGCTACAAACAAGTAAGAACAATACAGAGGCCTACAAAAAGTTCAAAACAGGATGCAGAATTCTAAATTGATTTTTTTAAAAAAACGAATCAGAGGCACCATCTAAACTACTAGGTAGCCATTATTTAAAACGCATAACTGAGATATGTTGCAAGCAGTTGTCGAAACTAAATGTAAAAGTTGTTAGTCAGCAAAATGACATTTAAATGTACTCGTCTCTGAAACAAAAATCGAATCGAAAGCACGCCTCTTCTGACTTCACCCGCTCTTTCTCGTTAAACTTATGTCTGAACCTCACCTCATTAAGGAGAGTCTAATTGGTGGAGTGAAGCCATAGAGGGCAAGAAATGCAATATCTTAGGTTCAAAAAATGTATATCCGAGCCTTCATACTCTCCGACTTACCAGTCAGAAGATCAGAGTTTGTAATTTGGTTTATGGCTTGTTAACTTCATTACTAATCACACAAGTATTACGTTATAATTTTTAACGTATAATTCTTATAATTTTTAACGGATCCATAAGTTCAACGAGTAGGACAGGGATGGAGCGCTTTTCGTTTGAGCATCATAACCAAAGTCGTATTCAGTTTGTGTGCTATCCTCTTCAACGAAAGAAGCAGCGTTAGTTTCTGAGACTCCAATGCCGTGATCTGCACATGCACATTTATATCCTCCTCCACCAATCATCATGACTGCTCCATCCCCAGTATCCCAGTCACACCAGAAGCCGATCTTGTCAGCACTTTGGATGCTTCCACTGCAATCAGCCTGTTGAAACCCGTCTGTTGACTTGTACTGTCCGCCATATTGAACCGTACAACTTCCCAGACACTGATCACTGGCCTAAAGTCGCCATAACTTGTGATTTTAGATCGGAATGTTTGTCCACCCAAACAGTTACCTGTGGTCTGTAACAGAGGGGTGTGACTAGGGTCGTCACTACGCGTGATCTTAAATTCGCTTCCTCTGACCAACCAAAATGCTGGTGAGATCATGTCAGTGTTTCTAAAGGGACTCTCTGTCCTTCCAGTGGAAACTTGACGGTCGTACCACCAATGGCCAGTGTCAGCCATCCAGTTCTTGACGTCATTATTTGAAAAGCGGGAAATAAGAGTCCAGCCTCTACCGTCTGTTGTCAATTCGCAGTAGACCTGCAGTAAAAAAAAAAAAAAAAAAAATGAGTGCTTCACTGATACCGAACCGTGGAAAAATGCATTGTTTCATGTCTTAAAAATATATATTTTAACAATTTAAATATTTTGTTACAAGAACATTAAAAAAGATGGTAAGTCTTGAGCTCGGTGAAGAAATAGAGAAACATCTTTTTTCGTCTTGTCACAAGCGTAGGAAAAAGAAAATTTCTGAGTCCCCATGAGGAATGGAACCTCAGACGTTCGGATCCCGCGCTCCAATGCTCAACCAGAGACACTTTGATTAGAAAGGCTTATTAAGGAGTTCCTATATAACATGCGTTCTGCAGACCTCTAGGGTCATCAGTGTCTTGAGCGTCATGTTTTTTGAACTTCGTAATGGGCCTTACTCACCATAGAGTCTCTGTTGCTCTCTGTCTCTTTGCATCATAGTTCTCGTCTGAAAGTTTCCAGTTGTTGCGTGAATGCAGCCTCGAATCGTTATTTTAGTTGGAGATTTAACTATTCTTATCAGGGTTTCCGACCGGCATGGCTGCATTGCCGTTATTTAGGGGAAGAATATATATTACATTTTTCTTCGGTTTAGACTTACAGGAAAGGCTAGTTGAGTGTTTTTATCGCGTACGTGGTACATCGCGGTAGTTTCGCGAGAGGGTCCGTGAAAACAAGAGGAACAGTTCACATTGTGCTTCATTGGTTAATTTTTGACCTTTTTATGTTCGTGGAGCGATTTTGTTGTTGTTGCAAAATAATTTGTTTAAAAAGGGTTGATATGTAACGGCCAGGTGTAAGATAATGCAATATTAGCCAACATCAAGACGCCTACGAGGTCCTTCAAAGTGCCAAAGAGAAACCAGGTTGAATGAGACTCTGACCATGCGAGAGAAACCTTTTTTAGCCATGTCAACGAAATGCGTAAAGCATTCTTAGAAAACGGTCTCCACTCTCTTTGCATCATAGTTCTTACTTGGAAGTTTCCAGTTACTGCATGAATACAGCCTTGAACCGTTATTTCAGTTGAAGATTTAACTTTTCTAATCAAGTTTGCTGACTGGCTCGGCTGCATTGCCGTTATTTTGAGAGAGGAATACGTACTATATTTAATACGGATCAGACTTACAGAAAAGGCTGGTTGAGTGTTTTTAGCTCGTAGGTAGTACATCCCATCAGTTTTGCGAGAAGGTCCATGCTGAATTAAGTCACAAGAACTATCTAGAGACGAAACACAAAACTTCAAGAACTTTCAAGTCAAACTGTTTAAAAACATTTGTACACAGCTTACGTTTTTCGAATAAATTAAAAAGACTGCTTATCATTTTAAGACTTTTGGCAAACATTTTCTTGTCTAGTTTGTATAAAAAAAAAATAATGGAAAAAAAAAGTAGAGAGGAAATGTGTTTTGGATGTACAGTTGAAAAGTAATAAAAGTAATAAAAGTAATAACTGTTTTAATACCCATTAATTTCGTAGCAATCACCGTGTTTACTGTTTCCGTTAACCCAAAGCTGTTTGTGGCTCGACAGATGTAGTCTTCTTCACCATGTGCTTTTGCAGTATTTACTGCGAGACATCCGTCTTCCTGGAAAAACGGAGAGAACAAAGTGGACCTTTGATGCCTAGTCCATTCAACTTTAGGACGAGGGGAACCTATGGCCACGCAGCAGAGGCTGACAGTTGTTGCTTGTTCTACAACGACCTTCGGTGAAGGTTTGTTAGTAAACTATGGTACCTCTAAACAAAAAGAAGATCATCAAGTTAACAAACAAAATAGGAGACCACGAATAATTTTAGATATATGCAGTTTGCGTACGTTTTTGAAAATTGAAAATTTTGTCGCGCGTAGATTATCAATTTGAAGGAAAAGGAATAGGAAAAAGTAAACGTCTCTGGTGCAAAAAGGATTACACTCGGTATTATTACAAGTTCATTTTAATTTCACTTTCCTCTAATAGATGATCTTCGGTGGAACAACACATTCTCCCTTTGGTCCCTGAATACCAACCAATCCTCTGATACCTTTGTTCCCTTTTAAGCCAATAGATCCTTTTTGTCCGTGACGACCCTTCGCTCCAGTATCTCCTTTAATTGCAAGAGCTCCAACAGACCCTTTGTCGCCTTTGTCGCCCTTTACTCCTTGAGGTCCCACAGGTCCTCTTTTGCCACCCACGCCTGGAGCCCCAATAGGCCCCGATGGGCCTGGTGGTCCTACCTTTCCGGAGGCCCCTTTTTCTCCCTTATATCCGGAATACCCAAGGGCTCCTGGCGGTCCCGGAGGTCCTGCCTGGTATATTTTGTCTGTGGAGTTACAAACATCAATGAACTTGTTGTTTATTTCTTGGCGGATTTGTTGTAAAGTTACAGTTCCTGCCGTTGGATTTGGAGCAATATTTCTTTTCTCTCTTTTGCGATGATCCGCTGGATGTTTTCTCATAACACTTTCGAAATCTTTGTGTGAAACAAGTGGAAAAAAATGGTCAAGGGTTTTAAATAATTTTGGAAAAAAAACATATTCATCCTGGAGTGCGGGAGCTTCACTATGTTTTAAAACAACTTAATTCTGCATTAAACATTATCGTCTTTAATGCAAAAAGACCATTTGGTAAGTCTCAAAGAACAAATCTCTTGGCCAGTCATTATTGGTCGCCAGGGGCTGGGATCGGGGGATTTTGTGGTGATCACGTGGTTTTCATCGGGAACAGAGGGGAGGATCAGTGGTCACTAACAGAATGTAAAGGGGTGGCTGTAGAAAATTGACGGTCATACATCAATGCATCCGTTTGAGCAATCGGCTCATAACCAATTAGAACAATCCTCTCTGAATATTTCGTACAGGACCATTAAAACGTTCCAATTTCAATGATAGTTGAGATAATTTTATCAAGTCATGTTTCCGCATAAACCGTCAAAGGTTATGTAATGTTATATTTTAGTCATATTAATATCCTTTCTTTACATGAAGAGAGAAGCATCACAAGCAACTGTTACATCTTGCTAACTTGAACTTGACTTTTATTTTTTTAAGTTTGCATATTGTTTTTTGTAGTCTTAAGGTATGTGGGTTGAGATTATGAACCCGTTGTATAACAAATACTGACCTAATCATCTTGCCAAAATGATATGGGTTTTTCGCATGACTACAGCCTATCATGATCTCCATCATATCGAAAAGTTCATGGTCAGTTCTCATCAAACATTTGGAGCTCATAAATAAACACCAGGTCAATTAAGGCGGTTTTGCCATTTTCGTCATTTCCTATTCTTCCTTGCGGGGAATCGAATTGTAGAAGCTAAATTAATTCATATCATACTTCAAATTAACGTCGTTTGGATCAAAGTAAATAGTTTTGTATTTGCATGTACCTGTAAACGTTTTCAGCTTGTCCTCGACGTTTTTGTCTGCTTCATTTGTCGTCTTCATGCGACTTTCAACGGCTAAAATACGCAGTTCATTGATTTGCGTTCGCTTGTTGATCATCTCCATCCTCAGGAACAGCGCAACAATCAGTAGAATTGAAATAAAAGAAAGAACCGATGAGCTCTTTCGAAAGACGTCGTCTGTCCTTTTTCTGTGAGCTCTCTCTGTAGAGTCCATTGTAGCTTTTCGGGACTTTCGGGCTCTTCTACTGAACAACGTTTATAATAAACGTGTAAGAAAACTGACGTACTTGTTTTCTTCCCCTGAAGATTTGCACTTCCCGAGTGACTGAAGTGGTTAAAGTTTCCTGTTTATCTTATTCCTCTGTCACGGATGAGTTACTTGTAAACGTAATACGCTTACGATTGGACACCGGAAATCTGTCTGTTGACCTCAAATTGACTAGAGTTGCATAATGTGGGTTTCACCTAAGGTGTTCTCTTATTTTCAATTTCTCATGTGGAATCATAAGGAGTTGTTTTATTAATCTCATGGACGTTTGGACTCTTGCTCTGATAAAACACAATTACTACTGCACTTCATTTTAGACTAGAAGTGGCGAGTTAACAAAATGTATTATGTTAGTATCACGTTTCCCTTAAACGCTATTTTTTTCACCGTGAAAGCTGGAACCGGGACTGATACAATCTTTACTTCCGGTGTTCTCAATCCTTTAGTTGACAAACGACTCAGTTTTGCGGAGATCTTCTGCCACCAGGACATTGCAAAACTGAAAATAGACTAAACCATTGACCGAGCTTAAAAAAAATCAGTCTTAGAGACCTCGCACATCTGACTCTGATAATTCTTCTTTCAAAAAACCTCAGTGAAATTATGCTGACTTGAAGTGCTACTTTAACACAAAGAACAAAAACAATGCTCGTTTTTTATGCCAAAAAATAGGCTAACACAATTTATAAGGGCCTAGCTTAGATGGACTAAAGGGGAGATTGATGAGTTTCTTTAGTGAGACTATAAAAAATGGACCAGACCCTCCTGGAGGTTTAACAATGAATATTTTTTTCATGGTAAATGAAATTAAAATGAACAAGATTTGGAATGGAGAACTGATATTTAAAATGAAAATGTTTTTTTGCAATCTCTTACCAAAGACTTCAACCTCTTCTACCTTTTATTTTTATGGCGGAATAAGGGATCTTTCACCAAGGATGTTTATCAAAACAGGAATGTGTTTATCTAATTACCGATTTATTTCTTTATGCTCATTCAATTAAACAATAGGTGTATGATAAGGTTTCACCAATTCATCACTACACAATCAATGACAAATACTTCAGATCTCCTCAACAAGTTTAGTAATGAGTCTGTTAAAACAATTCTAATGAAAATGACTTTCAAGGAAAAAGAACTTAATTGCAATTCGTTGCCAATGAAGATCTAAAGATGTGAAAATCTTAAGATCTTTTCCCTTTCGTAGCTTTGCTTTGAGAGGGAAAAGATGCGATGTTAGTGACCATTTTTAAATGCTCAAATAACTTGGATCACAGGGTGAAAATAAATAATTAATACCGTCCTCTCCACGGTTCCTTTAAGCAGATAATTTTTAACAGATCCACAAGTTCAACGACGAGGACTAGGATTGATTGTCATGTGTTTGAGCATCATAACCAAAGTCATATTTAAAAGGTGAAGAGATATTATATCATAACAAGTAAAGTGTGGTTTAAGGGTTAATGTAAACAACGAGAGAATTAACGGTGTTAATTTTTAAAGTGAAATACAGTTAACCTATAAACTATTTTCTGAGTCTTATTTTCTATTTTTTGTCAAGTTCGAAAGCTACTGCTGTTTTCAAAAAGCCAAAATTTATAGTATAAAAAACGAAAAATCCAAAACAAGTCTGCCATGTTGGTTGACGTCACCGAATCACAACAGCGCGATTTGCATATGTATCCCATGATATCAACAGCATCTTGTAGACAAAGGCTATCTATTAAATGTAAAAACCTTGAAAATATTGCAAGGTAAATAAAACGCAAGGTAGACTTCCAACCAATCCCTCTCTCCCCCCCTTGTACAACGGTGGAGGTTTAAGCTTTCATATACGTTTGACAATGAAACTAGGATAATAAACTGACAAGAAATGAGCATTATCCTTTTCAACGTTCTTCAGTTCTAACCTTAGTTTGAAAAAGAAAGATCGTATAATTTTCAACGAATCCATAAGTTCAACGAGTAGGACTGGTTTGGAGGGGTGTTTGACAAGGCATCGTAACCAAAGTCATATCCAATTTCACTACCTCCTTCTTCAACGAAAGAAGCAGCGCCAGCTTCTGTGATCCCAATCCCATGATCAGCACGTGCACAGCCACTCCCTCCCCCACCAATCATCATCACTGCTCCATCCCCAGTACTCCAGTCACACCAGAAGCCGATCTTGTTAGCGCTTTGGATGTCTCCACTGCAGTTAGCTTGTTGAAACCCGTCTGTTGACTTGTACTGTCCGCCATATTGAACTGGACAACTTCCCAGACACTGATCAGTGGCCCAGACCTTGCCATTTCTAAAGTCGCCATAACTTGTGATTTTAGATCGAAATGTATATCCACCCAAACAGTTACCTGTGGTCTGTAACAGAGGGATGTGGCTGGGGTCGTCACTGCGCGTGATTTTTAATTCTCTGCCGCCGACCGACCAAAAGGCTGTTGAAATCATATCGTCGTTCTTTGAAGAGTTGTTTGTCGCTCCAAGGGCAATTTGTTGGTCATACCACCATCTACCATCGTCACGCATCCAATTTTTGCCATCGCTGTTTGAGAATCGAGCGATAAGAGTCCAGCCTGTAGTGAAAACAGTTCTCATGTATTCTGTTTTTTGATTTTTATTATTATTATTATAGTGCATGGACATTTTAATTTTATTTCTACGTCTTTCGGGCATATGATGGGAATATTGTAGAGGATAGCTCTGTATTCTCTTTCTAACTTGAAACGAATTGTGCAATGTTCCCACCCTTCTTCTGTTTTTATCGGTGGTAAAAAAAAATAAAAAAATAAAAAAATAAAAAAATAAAAAATTTGCGGTGACCATAATGAAAAATATTAACCGTTAGCCGTAAAAACCATCGCTACATTAAGACACTCTTTGAAGACCAACTTTTGAGCCAGAGGTAGATCGATATAACCACGGATTGCAATTTACAGAGCCTCGCTTTCTAGTCTAATAGAAAAAAATGCGGGGGGGGGGGAGGGGCACTTTCTCGGTTTTACCACCTGATATCCACAATCGGCCAGAAAGTTTGGAGATGTGATATAGATAATGGTTTTTAGTTGTTGCAAAGCAATAATCCTATGTTTTATAAACCGTACATTTCTCTTACTTTATCTTCTAGCTCCTTGTCAAATAAATCTTTGAAAGCCTTGCACCAGAGGCCAAAAGCTTTCGGTATGAAAATGTTGTTTTTGGTCAGCGAGCGCAAGCTTATTTAAAAAAAGATGAAGTTATCAAAACTGGTGGAGAGGAATTAGTTATAGCCTAACTAATAAACTGACTCTAAGTAGTGTGACTAACAAATAACAAACAGGGTTTACCGCTATGTATACATGTTTTTCCATTTCCATAAAATCCACTTTTACAGGAACACTTGTGGGAGCCATAGGTGTTCTGGCAGTTTGCATTAACGTCACAAGGCCAGATGGAAGCACTGCACTCGTCCATATCTGAACATTAAACGAAATTAACTTGGGTAGGAGTGAATTAACGGGAGAATTTGGAAATATTCGATGACGACAAGAAAGTGGTAAACAGCAAAGCTTTGAGTCATTCTCCGGTAATAGAAGAGAATTACGCCGTCAGTTAAGTTTGAAGCAGTGTTGTAAATGTACACTAAATTATGTCTCACCCGTTTCGCAATGTTCCCCTGTGTATCCTTTCGCACAAACGCACTCGTAACTGTTCTTCTCGTACTGTGCCGCACATTTCCCATTGTTCTGACAAGGCCATTTAAAACATGGAGACTAAAGAAAACATAAACCAAAGAGAAAGAAACGAGAAAGATATGGCACCAATCATTTTGTATATAATCATGGACCGTGTTTCCAAATAGTCAGTATCTCTAATTAAACCTTCCCCGCTAATACCAATAATTCTTTGTAAGTCTTCCGCTCAAACAACCCCTCTTCCTTTTTCTGCAATTAACCACACTGTCCTCCTTCCACTATAAAGAAACTTCAAAAGAAAAACACATGGCTTAAATGTTACTGTTGTCAGATTGGACCAGTTAGCTTTTAGGCGTATTTTTAAAGTTTTAAAAAACCGGCATTAGCAATTGCAGCAATTCCTCTTTTCCTTTTATAAAAACAGAGTGAACGTTTTTTCGTTTCCAACTTACTGCGATACTATAGTGATGGTGACTCTGACTAGGAACAAGCTTGTCTGAGTTGTTGTACAAATCCGATGGAAGTAATTCACACAGAACTTTGCCATTCATATCATGAAATGCAGCCAGGTTAAACGAAAAACACGACGGAAAGTTGACACAAGCAAATCCACACTCGCTGCCCTTTCCAACATAATCCGAGCCAATAGTAGTGATGTTGAGGTAGGAAAACTTGTGTGTCTTAAAGTTGGCATAAGGTATTCCTTCACCTGTGCCTCGGCTTAGAGGTTTACCTCGCATATCGACGACTTTTGTTTCTAGAAATGAAGAAGGGAATGATAAATGATAAGTTAAAAGTATTGTACTCATGGACGATATTTAATCAGGAGTCAGTCTAAAACGCTTTACGTACCATGAGAAGCCTGCGCTACAACAACTAGTATTTTTATTAGTAAATGGAAATAGTTCCTTGTAAGTTCAAGGAGTCCAAACTGCATTTCGAGGACGAAGTTATATGCTATCTTCACCAGGCCACCGAAATCTGATCAGTTCACCGGCATTTGAATCAAGCAATTTTATAACAAATTGAAAGGAACTTGACAAAGTGTAAAACGATATGGTAAAATTCTAAGGCCTGATTATTAAATGTGTTCGGTAACAGATCACATATCAATTGAAAACCTGCAGTAAATTTATGTAAACCTAGACTGAAATTTGCCTATATCATTTAATTAGCATATACAGGAAGCCTACTCCTGTTTAAAACTTTGAATTATTGATCCGTAAGAAGTATATTGATATTTTTTCCTTTCCCATATTTTTGTAAGATTTCAAATTCAATATCTTATATCTAAGACAGCCTAATTACATCACACCAAGCCTGTTTTTCTCCGCTATCTTGCATTCGTAAACTGGCAACATCTA